GTCATGGTTAACGGGCTATCTAGGGCTGGAGACTTAGTTACACACTAACTGGTCGGACGATTTATATTAAATATAAATACATCTTCAGAATAACACTAAGTGTTCACGCCAACTGATCGCTGAGCTACATACGCTATTTCATCACCATTACTGATTCTTCTCTGGAGTTCATATATTTTTACATCATATACTACTTGTTCTACATATTTGTATTGTAGGATTATCGTCCAGGTGATCGGACCACTTGGTGCTCGGACTTCTCCACCGATCAACTGGTCGAACTACTAGGTTTATGGACTTCGTCGCCGACTAGTTGATTGGACTGTTCGTCGGTCGCTTCTACTCAATGCTCACTTCACCACCGACCAGTTGACCGGACTGTTCGTTGCTCGTGCTTCATCATCAACTATGTCGTGGATTCCTTGGTGTTCGGACATTATCAGCTACGTCAGGGACTCCTTGGTGCTCGAACATCGCTAGCTACGCCGGGGACTCCTCAGTGCTCGGACATCGCCAGCTACGTCGGGGACTCCTCGGTGCTCGGACATCGCAAGCTACGTCGGGGACTCCTCGGTGCTCGGAACATCGCCAGCTACGTTAGGGACTCCTCAGTGTTCGGATTCTTCGTGCAAGCATCGCCAGCTAAGCTGAGGACTCCCTTGGTGGTCAGATCTTGCTATGTCTCATCGATGTGCTTTCAAGCTGCTTCATGCTTTTTGGATGAGGGTGCTGATCTTGGGCAGCACGTCTAGGGTCTTGATACGCGCATGTCAGATGACGTCGGCAAGCTTTCGGACTTCTTCTCCTTGACCCTTCTACAAGATTCATTCTTCATTTTCCAGCAGGCTCGAGGACTAAGTGGCTACACTTCACCTGACGATGAATGTAGTGCTTATTTCTTGATTTACCCTCCTTATTGACGGAGTCTAAGTGGCTACACTTCTCCTAAGTGGAAGAATTTTTAAATTTTATCTTGAGCCCCTTACATCCTTCTAGCAAGCCTTTTTTGGCTAAGTCCGAGGTCTCCTAACTAGTTAAACTGGTCGGCATTGACTTTCACCGCCTAGGTCACTAGTTAAACTAGTTGGCATTGACTTTCACCGCCCAGGTCACCAGTTAAACTGGCCAGCTTTGACTTTCACTGCCTAGGTCACCAGTTAAACTGGTCAGCTTTGATTTTCACCGCCCAGGTCACCAGTTAAGCTGGTCGGCTTCGACTTCCACTGCTCGGATCACCAGTTAAGCTGGTCGGCTTTGATTTTCACCGCCCAGGTCACCAGTTAAGCTGGTCGGCTTTGACTTCCACGGCTCGGGTCACTAGTTAAACTGGTCGGCTTTACGTCAAACTACTCGGACTTATTCAAAACAGCGTTGCTCAAAGGATACAAGGCGCTCGGGGACTAGCTGTGGGGGTATGGCCTCCGATATCCATAAGATAAGACATGGGCCGCACCATCAGAGGTGGCTCAGCCCATAAGATCAAGGCGTGCACGACACTAGTCGACGTGCACCGTAAGATATTGTATAGTACCAAATATGATACTTTCTTTGTAACCCTACCCCTCTAAAGTATATAAGGAGAGGCAGGGGTCCCCTAATCGACATCTATATATATCTCATATTCAATACAATACAACAAAGACACGGGACGTAGGGTATTAGTGTATTACGTTGATCAGACGGCCCGAACCTGTCTAAATCGCTGTCTCTGCGCCTTGTGTCACAATCCGGTTCCTATCACGCGCACCTCCACCGATCAATCTACCTTCGTGGGATACCCCTCGGAGGACTGCCGAGCATCTTTTGTCGACAGTCGGTAACATAGCAGGAGCATTGTTGATAGCAGTTTTAAGGGGACCTTCTTAGGTCGGGGCATCTCCTAGAGGCGAGCTAGTGTTAGGCGTTGTCCGCCAGCCAGATGCATCTTGGCCGTAGACATCTAAAATCGAACGGTGGTATAGTTCAGATACATTTGTTTGACTCACAACTAAGGACTTATTTGAAATAAAGAAATTTCATAGAAATTGTGTGATTTTTTTAAAAACATTTTATTTTTATAGAAAAATGCAGAAAATAGGAAAAAAATCCGCATTCTAAAGGGGACTTTGCTTCTGGTAAGTGGGTCCCGTGGCCTCTCATACTCTCATCATGTGGGTTGTGAGCTAGGTCAACATTAAGCCCGATCTACCGAGGACTTTTTGACTAGACGGCCTGATTAGCCCACTTGTAGAAAGAAGTCCACGTTCCGGCCTTGCAGCTTGTTATACCGGCCCACTCATTCGCATACCGGCCTCTTCGTGTTGGTATGACCGTATCAGCTTCAAGTCATTTGGCATCCCTTCACTCCAATAACCTTTGCTGACCAAAATAATTCTCTCTGTAATTATCAGCTAGGAACTTGATTCATATCTTACCAGAGCAGGCCCAACTGCGGCCATGGATTTCCGCGAGAATGTTCTGAAAACTTGGTGGTTTGTGGGAGGTTTCAATGGGCTGCTTGAGCTGGGTTCATAATCCCACCAAGTTGTTCCCCTCTTAACAACCATACTGTCGGATAGATGGGACTATAAAAATTTGTATCTAGTTAAACTTTTTGATTATTTTAAAATTTTATTTACTTTACAAAAAAATTATTGTTCAAAAAACATAAATAACATAAATAAAAACTATATAATTAATTAATTAATTTAATTAATTTTGTAAATATAAATATAAATAGAGAAATCTTTGTAGATTACTTTGGCAGGGGCCGCGCGAACGCGTACCCCCTCAGCCACAAATTACGACGCCCACTCTCCTAGTTCAGGAGATGGTAAGCAAGTGCTCCTCCAAAGTGCAATAGAGGCCACCAGCCTAGGCCATGACTCTTCATGATCAGCCATAGACCCCGTCCAGGTAAGTATGTTTCAAGGTTGCCGCTCCATCTACCTTTATTGCTTCCCCGCTAAGTTCCTCAGGCTTGATTATCCGATGTGGCACTATTCAACTGCTAATCAGGTGATTTGCACCTGGCGCAGTGGATGGGCTTGGTTGTGGTTAGGAGTCCAATACAGGTCTGCCCCGGCCCACCTAAGCCAGACGGCAACGCGCGGCCTTTCCAAGGTTCCAAGATCGGAGTGCTCAACCCTTTTCCTTCTTTTTTTTATTATATTATATAAAAAATAAAATCCTCGCTTTATTATCTTCCTCCTCCACAGATCAACCTCTGCCGATTGGTATTACAGTTACAGGTGCTTCCAACGTGAAAAGCCTACGGGAGGCTGGTGATGTCTGAATCAACTCACCTCCCCTTTTGCAACGTGAAAAGCTCTATCGGACTCGGACATCACTGATCGCACTTACTGTACGTATTACTTATTACTGTGGTGGAAAAAAAATGGAGTACCGGTTTCGAGCTCCATCCACACTATTATCAGGATGCATCGTCATTCACATCAGCAGTGGGTGGATGCAGCTCTCCGTCGCCAGTCGACACTCGACAGGGAAAAGGCGGCCATCCTCACCTAAAAAGAGGGCGGAGGCACGGCTTGCCTGCACGCGGCCATCCACCGATCTCATCTCATCTGGGGACCGGAACGAACGAATCAAGCTGGGGTGGCTGGCTGACAGGGTGTGGTGTTGACCTACACACATGTAATCTCATCGATCGCACGAGTGAGCAAATGGGTGCGGCAAATTGATCAGATCCATGCTCCACGTGGTGGCGTTGCCAGTTGCCACGGCGCGCGAGTCCTCCTCGGCGTCGTCCAGGCCTCTGCTGTGCATACAAGTGGCATGCAGCAGGCGTAAGCGCTCATGATCGAGCATGGATGCCGGCCGCCTCGATCCAGATCGAAAATCACACTCATCATCTACTGGCGCGACGACTGAGAAGTTCATTCGTCAGGTGCTGCTCCTCCTCTGCTGTCTGCACCACGTATTCGGTATACATACCCATCGTCGCAATGGCGTGGTGACTGTAAACATCAGCGACGCTGGAAGGCACGCGCGCATTAAAGGACAAAGGCGATGGATGGATGGGTGAGGGCCGCCGGCCGGCTTGCAATCGGCGACAAAAAGCCCGGGACTGGGAGCGATGGATCGGGCGCACGGCGTGGTGTCACAGGTTCCCAGTGACGCGAACTGTTTGACTCATCTTTCAGCGGCCCCGCGCGCTGCCCTTTTTTTTTCTTCTTCTTTCTTCTCTCCCAGCGCTTTGCTTTTTTCATCTGTAAAGCGGGAGACGCTATCCATCGCCCGACGCTCTTACCGTGATGCATCCGCGTAGCACCGCGGTGGCGCTGCGTTCTTGGTCTGCAAATCGATCCTCTTGTTTATTGAGGAGCTGATCAGCTGATGCCTCGCAGCGTTTTTCTTTTCTTTTTTTTTAACTGCTTGATTGATCCAAGAGAGTGGCCCAAGCTTTTCTCCTGGCCCTGGGCTTTTTTGGTGCTGTATGTAATCGATTGCTTTTACTACTTTACATCGCCTGCAGCAGCTGTACTGTACAGGAGTGGAATCACCTGACCTTTCGTCAAAGGATTTTCCAAAGGATAAAGAGACCGGCTCCCATGGTTTTTATTCATGGCATGCCTCAGGCCTCGTTCGGCTTACTTTAAAAACGACGTTATTCAGCTTGTTTTTTTAGTCATAATAGTGTTTTTCTCTCACAATAATTCAGGCAGAACAGTGTTTTCAGTCAGTTTTAGCCAAATTTCAGCGAGAAGAACGGGGCCTAGGTGTGTCCGTGATAAGGCCTTTGGCGTTGCATTTCACAGCGCCTGAAACTGAAAGGCCCGTTTCATCAATCAACAACCAAGAAAAAAGAGAGAGAAAACAACACTACTATTTTCATATATAAGTGGAGCGAAGTCAAAGGCTCCTCCTGAGCCAATCACGATCGGCCCCGCGCTTTACTTGCTTTTTTGTATCCCCTTTGCGCTTTTCTACTCGCTTCACAAGCCTGTCTCGTACGCAAATACCTGCAAACGCTTGTATAAAATCGGTACGGGCCCCCACTAATGGTCACACTCTGCGGAGCGTACGAGCGCCGCCTCTCCCCACCGCCGCTCCATCAGGAACAGCAACAGCCCGTTCCTTCCCACCTCCAGCAGCCTCGCGAATCGCGCGATCCGACCACCACCGGTAGTCCGGTCCTCAAGGCGTCTCCGGTGGGTTTGGTATGCCCGGAGAATCCGACGGTGCTTCCTGCTACCAGCAGGGGCGGCGCCTCTGGGGGCTTCTTGGTGGTGCTTGCCCTCCCGTTTCTCCCGTGCAAATTGCGCTTGTTTAGGTGCGCCAAGACTCACAAGACAAGAGGAGGCAATTTTGTTGCGTCTACCGTACGTTTTTCCCCCCGCATTGTTGTATCTAAGCAAACAAAAGTCAAATATCTTTGGCTTTTTGCAGGTGGGAATTGGGTGATTCTTGGTGTGCAGTAGTAGGCAAGACTACCACATCCTCGCGCTCGCGCACGGCTCGGGTCATTTTGGAGAGGACGAATCACTGGAGCAAGCCCCGGAGGGAGATGAAGGATGTGGCCGTGGCTGGAGAGGATTGCGTCCGCGTGCTGGGACCGGGTCCGGAGGTACGCGCTTACGAGGAAGGGTGAGGACGACGGCGACGCCGACGGCGGCGACGGCGACGCCGGCGCTGCTGTGGTCGCGGGACCTCGCGCGGCACGCGGCGGGCGAGTTCTCCTTCGCCATCGTGCAGGCCAACGCCGTGCTGGAGGACCACAGCCAGGTGGAGACGGCCGCCGCCGCCACCTTCGTCGGCGTCTACGACGGCCACGGGGGCGCCGAGGCGTCCCGCTTCATCTCTAACCACCTTTCTGCGCACATCGTCCGTACGTGGCCCCCTTCTCCATATGAATCCAACAAATTTTACTCTCTTGGGCTTCGTGAAATGCTGTTCGCTAGCTTTTAGAATGGTTGTTTGGTTCGATTGGGTCGGTTAGATTGATGCCTTTATTCCTCTTATTTTTTAAGAGCTGCATGTGCAATCTCATTGATAAACTGTATGCTTTTTTTAAGAATCTTGATTTTTTTTAGAAACCAAAAACAAAAAAAAGAATCTTGATGTAGGTATCAAATAGTGGAACGACTATTTCGTCCGCGGGCCACGTCTTTAGTGACTTGCTTTGCCCATCTAATTGGGGGAATGAAATGGGCTCTTAGTATTCTTTTTTCCTTTTTGGGATACCATGACTGCGAACAGTATTGATTCGGTCGCAGTATAGGAAGTGTTGTCGTTCATGTCTCCAGTTCCATGCTTGTGTCAAGTCTGAATTTATTAGCGTCAATAATTGTTTATCGATGAGATCACCACGTCACACAAACCCACTTACAATTGCTATTACGATTTAGGACAGTCCACTTGTTCTGTTTTTAGCTGAAAGAAAATGTTCTGATGTTAACATATACTTGTCTGTCAATTTATTAGTGTCAATAAGTAGTATATTTTTTTCTTACAGGTCTTGCACAGGAACATGGAACAATGTCTGAGGATGTTGTTCGAAAGGCCTTTTCTGCTACAGAGGAAGGCTTCCTGTCGCTTGTGCGCAGGACACATTTGATAAAACCTGCTATGGCTACTATTGGATCTTGCTGTCTGGTTGGTATCATATGGAGAGGGACACTCTACCTGGCAAATCTTGGTGATTCTAGGGCGGTCGTTGGTTCTGTGAATGGATCAAACAGGATTGTTGCTGAGCAGTTAACAAGAGACCACAATGCTAGCATGGAAGAGATTAGGCAGGAGCTTAGGACTCTTCATCCTGATGATTCGCAAATTGTTGTTCTTAAGAATGGTGTTTGGCGCATCAAAGGCATCATACAGGTAGGCAGCATTTTTTTTCTGGTGACTAGTGCTGTATTTATGATGCTTGTGGTATGCTTGATAAAATAGTGGAACAGAAGTAAATGGCAACCTTGTTATCGTAGTGGCTGGAAAGAGCTAATGTCACACTTTTGGTAACAGAAAATCAGTAAATAGAACTGCTAAATATGACAACAAAAAAGCAATGGTAATCTTCAGAATTATAGCACTGTGTTCGATAGTACTCTTGTATGATGCCATCTAACACTCGATCACTATGCTGAAAACTTCTTCGAACATGTTTCTTTCTTTCTGATCTACTTAGGTTTCAAGGTCTATAGGTGATGCATACTTGAAGAAGCGAGAATTCGCTGCTGATCCATCCACAGCTCGTTTCCACCTCTCGGAACCTCTCCGCCGGCCTGTTCTGACGTCAGAGCCATCTGTATGTTCAAGAGTTCTTAGTTCACAAGACCGTTTTTTGATCTTTGCATCGGATGGATTATGGGAGCACCTCTCAAACCAGCAAGCTGTTGAAATTGTCCACAATAATCCACGAGAAGTATGCCTTACTTCTTTCTCGCTGCATTTTGTCTTGAACTGGCGACTCTTTTCATATTGCTCTTGCTGATGATAGTACTCCTTTTGTGGTGATGCTGAAATGCGCTTTCCTTGTTCTTGTAGGGTATTGCAAGGAGATTAGTACAAGCGGCTCTAAAAGAAGCTGCAAGGAAGAGAGAAATGAGCTATGGCGATATTAAGAAGCTCGATAAAGGAGTCCGGCGCTACATCCACGACGACATAACAGTTGTTGTTGTCTTCGTCGATCATGAACTGCAGTCGGAGGATTCTGCTTCAACCTCTGTTCCTGAACTCTCAGTTCGTGGGTTTGTTGATGCAGGGGGGCGCTCCAGCTTTTCAGGGTTGAATGACATTACTTGATACAGTAACCTTGTGTTGTCTAAGTACCTGTCATTTTGATGTAACATTAGATCAAACTGTCCTTCTGTAGTTTTCTTATTCTGTTGCTGCATAGCACATAGCACTACAACTGGCCATATCGGAATCGCGATCCGTTTCGGCAATGTCTGGCTATGCTGTTTCTCGTTTTCCCCTACTATCCGAAGAACAAGTTTCAGATCGGTAAAGATATATAGGATATTGCCAACTAATATTTTGGTGAGATGCTGATCAGCTGGAGCTGGGACTTGCAGATGAATCTCTTAATACGATTTCTGCACCAAAAGCGGGCACCTGATAGTGCCGCATCACCCGCTAACCCGCTAGCCGTTGGATCAAGCGATCAGGTGATCTGGTCCGTCCGATTGAGGGTCGGTTTGGGCGTCGACCCGTAAAGTAGCGAATATTCCCGAGGGTTGCCCGTCGTGTAGAGGAGAGAGCCGCCCGAGGCCGCGCGGCGCAACCGCGCTCGACCTGGCCACTCTACGCCGCCCCCCGCACCTCCCTCCTCCTCCCGACGCGGGCGGGGCCAGCTGCCCCAGCGCGGGCGGGATGCGGGCTCTGCGAGCGTGGGGTTCCCGGCCATCCCGGCGCCGGTGGGGGCCCCAGCGGCACCGGCGACCCCGGCGCAGGCGTGGCGCGGGCGCGGGCGCGGCGGCCTTGGCCGCTCGGGTCCCGGCCATCCCGGCACGGGCGGGGGCCCCAGCTGCCCTTGCGACCCGGTCACGGCCGCCGGTGCGGGCGTGGCTGCTGCGGCCACCCCGGAGCGGGCGGCGGGCGCAGGCACGGCGGCTGCGGCCACCCCGGCGCGGGCGTGGGGCTCGAGAGCTGTAGTCCCGCCAATCCGGTAAGCCGCCGCACACTCGGAGGGGAGTGAGGATGCCTCGGCCAGAGTTCCAGGCGCCGCCGGATGTGTTCTACAACGAGTCGGAGGTCCCCAAGTACACCACCTCCTCCCGTATCATCGAAATCCAGGTGAGCAAGCGAAGTGCCTCCCCCCGTTTGATTTGAGCTTTGCCGATTTCGCGGCGCTGGCGCGAAGTGACATGCCTTCTTTCAGTCTAGGATTTCCGAGAGGGCACTGGAGCTGCTTGTTGTTCCCAACGATGGCGTCCCCAAGCTGCTTCTCGACATAGGTCAGCATACTCTCTTGTGCAGCTCTGCTTCATGAATCATGGCATATCGCGTTGGCTAGAACAACAGAAAGTATTCTCCTTTGACGGGGGCAAAAATACATGTTGTGGGAGCTCTTTATTGCAATCGGTTATGGCAATTGAAAGACATCTATGTTTGAAGATATGCTTACCTACGATGACTTTGTGTGCTGTAATTTCCAGGATGTGGTTCTGGGCTTAGTGGTGAGACATTGATGGAGCATGGCCACCACTAGATTGGCTATGATATTTCAAAGTCGATGCTCGGTGAGGACCTCTCTATGTTCCTTTCTCTTGGCTTGTTTAGCACCAATTAGAAAGGGAAGTGGGAGTCTAGAGGAGGGGAGCTTTCTAGATATCTTGCTCTGGTACCTGCATCCTTTTTTAGAATTTCACTTTTTTGCACAGATGTTGCCTTGCTTATGGAAGAGTCCGCGTCACGGCGTGCAATGTAAGTGGTTTTAGTGCTCCGTTGTGCCCATATGCGAGCTCCTACGCCGGGAGCACCGGCCAGCTCCTCAGCGGTCAGAGTGGTGTCCAACTCCTCAGCGGCCAGAGTGGTGTCCATGGACGATTCCCAGCTGCTGCTCGAGGAAATTCCTCCAAGGTAGGTGTGCATTGAGCCACTGAATAATCAGCGTTTCTGATAGTATATGATCTGCAATCCATGAGCTTAAACATGAACATTCTGTTGTCTTTCTATCATGCAGGATTGCATCGATCGAGATAATAATCAGAATGCATGGATAAGTGCTAATATTTACTGAAATAGTTGTATCCCATGTGTACTAACTATACATGTACATATATGGCGATTTAAAATTCATATTACTGGTAGAAGTTCGAAGATGTGCAGTGGCTTACTTCATTTCATAAAACTGGAATGTCTTGTCTTTGTCGCCTGCCCTAATTAAAAAAATTATAGAATGGCACTTTTCAGATATTAGAGCATGGCATTTCAGTATGTTTAGCAAAACTATCCAACTACTCCTTCATTCAGGATTCTTACACATCACAGATTAGTAGTGCTACTTTTGTTCTTCCGATGTGTGATGACTTGCAGGTATCTACAACAAAATTATTTAAGTGGGTACGTCCTTTTTAGAATTTAGCGATTTGGTACAAGTGGTTCAGTTACAACAGGAATTGACAGCCGTTCACAATCAGGTATACTGCTGCGACAAGACAGTGGTTGTTTCAATCTCAATGCGCATGGTTCTTTTTTTATATGTCAAAATTCAGTTCTTTTCCCCAAGCTGAGTAGTTATGTATGAATGTGAAAGATTAACTAATGGTGTTTAGTAAACTCCTCTTTATTATCTTTGATGATAAATGTGTTTATCAAATATTTTTTCATAGTAACGATTTTATACTGCTGGAACAAGACAGTGGTTTTTTCAATCTCAATGCGCATCGTTCTTTTTTTTATGTCAAATTTAGTTCTTTTCCCCAAGCTGAGTAGTTATGTATGAATGTGAAAGATTAACTAATGGTGTTTAGTAAACTCCTCTTTATTATCTTTGATGATACATGTGTTTATCAAAGATTTTTTTCATAGTAACGACTTGCCATTGATGATAGAGTTTGATATTTGAGGAGAGTTTTGTCCTTATCTATGTTCCTTTAATAAGTGTCTAGTATTAAGATAAATAAAAATTCCAGAGCCACCTTTGTCAGATAGATGGGGGAGAAAGCGTGTTCTCTTTGTAAAACAGAAATGTGTTGAAGCGAAGGAGCACACACGATCTTACTCTATTTCTTTAATCATTTTGGTTTCTAAATTGCATTTATATTCATTATTCAGCCACTTAAATTAAATTCCTGGGCAGAGCACAAATATTTTCTCCAATTCATAATTATCCTTTCATCAGTGTACATTTAAATAGTATCATTTTGTTTTTGTTTTCCCTCTTTCTAGGCTACTGCATACTATGGATCTCATCATTCATTAAAGGTTATACAAGACATTTTTGTAGTGGGCCACTGAAACAAACTTAGCGATGCATACTTATGCATGGCCTCAACTTTTATGACAATATCTGTGAGATATGCTTAGTTTTAGAGAATATTGTTCTCCTGTAAAACTATGAAGTTACAAAACTTTTATATGGACATTAGCACTTAAAAGTATTGATGCATTGCTATATTGAATTGTATCCCATAGATAGATTTGCTATTTGGCACATTTATATGACCACCTCAAATTTTTATATGATGAGATTGCTACATATCAACGTATATATGTGCATGCAAATTTAGGTACGACACACTTGGATCAAAGTTGAGGAAATATTTTAACTCCTGATTGTGCGATTGTCTGGTGCAAGCGGTAGAGTCTTACCGCCTGTGACCGGAAGGTCCCGGGTTCGAGTCGCGGTCTCCTCGCACTGCACAGGCGAGGGTAAGGCTTGCCACTAATACCCTTCTCCAGACTCCGCACAGAGCGAGAGTTCTCTGCACTGGGTACGCCCATTGTGTGATTGCTGTAAACATCACCCATGACTCCATATATTACTGACGGGCAATCTCATAGCTCAACCTTTTGCAATAATGCAATAATAAATGGTATAAAAAAAACTACACCGGTGAACTCCAAGGATGGCGCGGCAGTGTATTCATCAAAGCTTCAACTTCCAATTGTAGGTGATACATACCTATAAGATTTCAATGACAAATTCGAACACCAAAGACATGGACGAAACAGACGACATTAACTTTCAATTGTAGATGATACATACCTATAAGATTTCAATGACAAAAATTCAAACACCGAAGACATCGATGAAACAGACGACATTGAGGCCCCGTTTAGTTCCGAAAATTTTTGGCTTTTTGCTACTGTAGCACTTTCGTTTTTATTTGGCAAAAATTGTCCAATTATGGACTATTTAGGCTTAAAAGATTCGTCTCACGATTTCTCGGCTAACTGTGTAATTAGTTTTTTTTTCTACATTTAGTACTCCATGCATGTGCCGCAAGATTTGATGTGACGGGGAATCTTGAAAATTTTTGGTTTTTGGCTTGGAACTAAACGGGGCCTGATAGTCGTCTGCTCCAGTTGCAAAATATCCATAGATATGCATAAGGTGGAAATAACTGTTTATTTCATAAACACTAGGGAAGCAGCCCATTGCTGTGAGGAGCAGTTCACCATCATTGCTTCTATACCATTTAATCCTATCATCAAAGCACATAACAACCAAAATACACAGGTCATCTTAGGTTGGCGCGGCAACGTCCGCGCCACAGTTTCTAGTTTATATGGGACGTAAAACACGACTAGCATGTCTGTTTGTTTGCTCGCCCGTCAATTTGTCACTGGGATAAATCCTTATGTCTGTCTAGTCTTCAGACTTCCTTGTACCACCCATCAGCTGGTTGATGGTTACTGCACTTTTGTTGTTGCGACGCCTTCTGGTTGCTTTGGTAAGCACTTGCTCATTTTCTTCCTGTGTTAGTAGCCAGTTGATATGGGCATACATACCAACATATGGGATCTCATTTGCCACAAACCTAGCTAAGCAGCTCTAAACCCTTTGTTTAGCGAGCTGTTGTCTAAACTCTAAACCAATGGATTTGTCAAAAAAAAAAACTCTAAACCAATGGAACAATTCTCGGTCGGTCAGAAATTCACCATATTTTTAATTTTTTAACTAAATACGAGCCACTGTAAATGGAATATTTTCATATCTGTGTTCATGTTCTGCAGGTTTCTTACTTTATTGAGCATGAGCACATGACGAGTATTTTCAGAACAATAGAACACTAAAGTAACTTATAGCAGTGAGCTGCACTCCAGTGACGATTTTACACAACCCTGTCCGTGATTTCCCTGCTTGGATACAGACTCACAGCTAGCACGTCAATCTTCGCACGCCTTGGCGAACAACGGCAGAAGCCCGCCCGCACCCAGTTCCATCCTCGCGATCTCGATCCCCTGCTCGTTGAGAAGTTCCTCCAGCTGCTGGGACTCCGGAACCGGAGCCTCCGGCCACGTAGCCGCGTTTGCCACGGCGGCCTGCTCCTTGTTGAGGGCGGCGTACTCGTCCCTCAGCGGCGTGTCCGGCACGACGCAACCGACGTGCCCGCCGACGCCGCACTCCCTGCACGCGTAGAACCACCTTGCCGTGCTGTAGCCCTTGCGGCACACCGCGCAGAAATCGAACGAGCCCATGCCCCTCCTCGGGTCCTCGTACGTGAGCGTGAGCCGGTGCCGGTGCGCGGGCGCGGTGGCCGCTTCCGGCAGCGCCGCGCAGGGGAGGTGCTGGTCGAACGCGCACGGGTCGCAGCGGAAGGACCAGGAGTAGCCGATGTGACGGCACGCCCGGCATAGGTGGCAGCCGTAATCTCCCGCCGGCGTGAGCCGGAGGCTGAGGTCGTGCTCCGGGTGCGACGGGTGGCGGATGGTGCGGGCGAACCGGGCGCACGACGGGTGCAGGACGTAGCGGCACGGCGCGCACTGGTAGATGGAGCCAGTGCACGGGAAGCGGCAAGCATGGCAGTACGGCGGCGCCGTGTCGCCGCTGGGGATGTCGGTGAGGTGGAGAGGGTGGCGGTGGCTGATATGGATCAAGGTATCATCCTCTTTATTTAGCTTCTCCATTTCTCCCAGTGTTCTAACTTCTCACGATTCCTTTGGTTTGCTCACTCCTTTTCCTTGCTTCAACAAAGCTTGGAGATAATATGCACGACCTTGTGCAAGCTTCGAGCTCAGAGTTGAGTCAAGTCAACTGTTACCAAGTTGCCATATGTGAGCATATGCAAACTACGTGAAGTCAACTATTACCAAGTTGCCATGTGAGCATATACAAACTGCTCCTCCGTTCACGAAAGAATGTAACTATGGGTTACGTGCAGATCAAACTAGTTTAACTTTAATTGAGTTTATAGTAAATAGTATTAACATTTATATCTTTATCTAAGTTTATTATAAAAATATATTTCATAATCAATTTAGTGATACTTTTTTATCATAAATGTTAATATGCTTTTATACAATTTTGATCAAACTCTAAATCGTTTGATTTCACGAAAAGCAATAATTGCATTCTTTTGTCGACAGAAAGAATACGTATTAAGCTTCTTTGCTTAGCCTCTCCATTCCTCCTAGTGTTCTCTCGATTCCTTTGGTTTTGCTTCTTTTGTTCGCTTCACAACTAATAGTACTAGCATATATGATAGTAGATATATGTAGCCACTATCCACTAACTAGCGAGGCATGCAACTAGCGAGAATT